ACTTTTTGTACTTTTTATTTTTTTTATTATTTTTTACTTTTATCAATTTACATTTGTATTCATTTTCTTTGCCACTTAACTTTATTGCTATCACACACAAGCCTCTGTTTGATAGCATTTGGAAGTGACAGGTTCTCTTTTGAACCTGTCACCTCCAATACAGGAGTTCTAGCACAGTACTGTGCTGGAACTTTTGTGATAGCTGAGATGGGAAGGCTGCGAGTGCAGTTCTCCTGTCTCAGTGTTTACACAGAGCAAAGCGAGCAACAGACGTTCTCCGCTCTGCTCCACGCTCTTCATCGTGAATGAATGTGCCGTGGTTCCAAGTCTTCCAGAGGAGCGGAGGACCCCCGAAAACCATGGCAGGAAGGAAGAAAGCCAGTGGGGAGAAGCAGCGAGGTGAGGTAGGGGCAGACCATAGAGGGGTGGCGGCGGGGGGATGGAGCAGCACGCATATTACAAGTGATCTTGACGACATCGCTGGGATCATTTGTACTAAAACACCGGCTTGGCCGCTCTACATTTAGCCCTGCTTGTAGATAAAGAAAACTATCATGTTTCCCCAAAAATAAGACACTGTCTTATATTTTTTTGGGCTCAAAAAAACACACTAGGTCTTATTTTCGGGGTAGGTCTGATTTTTTATTTTTTTTTTAATGTACAACAATCCAAAGTTAGTGCAAATCCTAATTAAATAATCCAAACTGACAAAGTTAAGAATAGGACGATCAGAGCAATCAGGGGTGCTGTAGCTTTCCAAGAGCATTTTGGTAACCAATCGCTGTCCAGAATGAGCTAAGCGCGCTTTCACTATGGATTCCTCACAGGCGGAGTGCATTTGGTATGACTCCACCTGTGACAGGAGCCGGCGCTATAGAGGAAGCATCGGCTTATTATTTGGCTCTGCTCCCTCCGCTGCCGCCTCGCTTCCTCTAGCGATGGCTTCGTTGGCAACGCTGATTCTCTCCCGCGGCACTTCAAGTTCCCCCTTATGCCACCACCGGCCCTGGGAAAGGTCGCAACTAGGTCTTATTTTCGGGGTAGGTCTTATATTTTAGCAATTCCCAAAAATGGTACTAGGTCTTATTTTCGGGGTAGGTCTTATTTTCAGGGAAACAGGGTACCTGCCCAGAGGCTGTGCTGCCCCTCTATTCCCTGCTGCCCCAAGGCCCGGCCCCGGTGGCCTTGTGGGAAATCTGCAGAAGGCAACCTCGGCACTCCTGATTTGATCAAACTACAAATTCCATTCTGCCTCTGGAAGTCATGCCTATGGCTATCAGAGTCTCTCTGGGCCTCATGGGTTTAATAGTTCCACAACAGCTGGAGTGCCAAGGTTGCTTGCCCCTGTTTTATTTCATTCATAAGATTTATTCATCTATCAAAAGTTATAATAACCTAGTAATAAATAGGACATATTACATTCCACCATAATTAAAATGTGATAGATCTGCTTAAGGCCTGGTTCACACCTAGGCGTATTGCATATGCGCGTCTGTCACACGTTTTTTTTTTACCGCGACTCGCGGTAAAAAAAATCGCTCAACAAACGCGCGTTTCCAAGGGCTGCTTGGCTGTATCCCAATGGAAACGCGCAACAAAAACGGCCCAAAGTAGTACATGTACCTTTTCAGGCGTGGGCCGTTTTGCAGCGCGTTAGGGACGGGCTGAAATACGCCAAGGTGTGAACCAGACCCATTGAATACAATGGGATTTAGATGTTTGAGCGTTTTGTAGAGCGTTCGTCGAGCGTAGAACGCGCTACAAAACGTTCAGGTGTGAACGAGGCCTAAAGGAGAACTATGGGGTAAGTGTTTTTCCCCATAGTTCTCCTAAGGGTCACGGGATGACATATACTAACCTCCTCCCGTGACCCATAGCTCAGTATATCGCGAGCTACAGCTCACGGTATAATGAGACCACCGCATCCATGACGGATCCTGACATTACTGTCGAGATCCACCCAGCTGCATGAGTGACAGCTGGCTCTGCCTATCTAGAGGCAGAGCCAGCTGTACCCGCCCCCTCCCCCGTCCGTTCCGCCAGTCAGCGCTGGAGGATCGGAGCGGGGAGAGGGGGAATCCCTGCAGGGAATCCGTAAGTGACAGTCACAGCTCTTTGCAGGGACATGATCGAGAAGTGAGCGAGTGACGGTATGCGTTTGCTCACTTCCCGATCTATTGTGCCGATGTATGACAGTTTCACTGTCACACGTCGGCTCGAACTATGAGGTTGAGTGAAAATCTCCTTTAAAAACCCTGTATTGGGGTATCCAACATTCAAAGCAATCAACTTCTAAATTTAAGGATGGCAATATATGAGAAAGTGTCTTTATGTTCCCATACATGACAATTGTTTTTGTGTATAACTATATAGTGTTCCTATGGTTTGCTGAAACATTCAGTGAAGATTGGCGTTTGTTTGCCCCTAATTGGAAGGATCTTAGTAGCCATCCTGGGATGGACATGGAATAGCAACTTTGTTGCTGCTTTTTAGGCAAATAACACCGTATAATACTTGAATAATGAAGCATCATGTGTTTGAGTTTATAACAGCATGAAATATCATATAGAGTTATATATTTCTCTTGTTTTGTGTGAGCAGTTGATTGGTTTGAATGTTGGGTTTTTAGGACAGATCTGTCATATCTTTAATGGTGGTGCGATGTAACGTGCCCCATTATTATTGTAGGTTTTGTTAACATTTTGATAGATGAAGTCTTGTGAGTGTAATAGAACTGTATTTTCTGTTGGTTGTGTTAATTGAAGATCACTTTGTAACTAATTGGGAATAGTAATGCTTTTGAAACCAGGCTGCCTATGTGCATGAGACTATAAGCCTAGGATTCATTAGAAGGAGAAGAAGTTGTGGATGTTTTATATTTTAATATTCTTTTTTACTTGGTGGCAGTGGGTGAATGGGGTAAGTTAAGTATTAGCATAAGGGGGTGGACTGGTAAAAAAATAACGTTGCCCTAAATGGCTGTTAAAGGGTAGGCCCATCCATACTGTTATTTGACTTTTAGGAACTGGTTGGGCTAAATCATACCCTGGCGTCCTATAATTTTGAGGGACAACAGCGGTGATATCTTCTGGCTGTGCCACTGCACACATTTTGTGTCTCACTCTTCCTGCTACATTATTCCAAACTTAAAAGTTCATGGAGAAACACACAGAGTGAGACTAACTCCTAATGGTCATAATGAATAATCGTAATTTAGCCCCCATCACCTTCTCATTTAGTGATAGCCAGGGCTGTAATGAGCCTGGCTGGAATTATAGTGGCAGTTATCTGGTTAATTACAGGTGTCTGGCATTGCCTGTACCCCCCCCCAGATTGCATGTAATAATCTACTTTTTTGAGGTTGTGGATTTGGGGTTCTTGGGGTTTTCATGAGCTGTAAGCCATAATCATCACAATTATGACAAATCACGGCTTGAATTATCTTGCTTTGCATGTAATGAGTCTCTCTCATATATTAGTTTCACCTTTTAAGTTGCATTAGTGAAATAAATGAACTTTGCACGATATTCTAATTATTCGAGTTTCACCTGTATACTGGAGGGATTTGCCATGTGCTCAGACTAGCCAGGACCAGCCATGGAATAGGGCTGGGTGCTGTTCAGCCTGCACCCCAGGCCAGGCCTGAGACCTGGGGATGGGTATAGGCTTGTGTGAGGGAAATAGTTCCCTGAGGCCTCCGACATGGAGGAGGCCTGCTGTTGCTGAGGAAGAGACCCAGGACCAATGATGGCTCTTGAAGTATCCTGAAGTATCCTGTTGAGGATCTGTATTCATCCTGCTCATCTGCTATTTCAGTTGCCATCCGTTGCCATCCCAATTGGATCTACACTGATATGCCAACCAGGTCTGGTGAGTCTGGAACTTATGTCTGTGACACCCTGGAAGCTTAGAATCCCTATATCCTCTCTCCCCAATGAAGATGTTCAATAAAAGGTTATTCTGCATTATACTACTGGAGTGGACATCAGTTTGTGGGCACCAGAAGAAGGGCGGTTAATGTTAATGGATGGGCAGCTGAAGATCATACCCTACACAGACTATAGATGAACCGGGCATTCAGCGGCTCCTTCGGGGGTGAGCGCTACAATAACCTATTGAAGCTCATAGAGACTGAAGAAACCAAAGAGTGATTCAACCCATCCACATCAGAACTGAAGTATCAGTCTTGGACGCAATTACTCTTTACGTTGGCCATAGAGAAATGTTGGCAGTCAGATATCAAAAAATAGTTTGATGCCCAAAATGTGCCATGCCTATCTGTATATGAATATGTGTTGGTTTCCAGTGAGCAAGACCGTTTGCAAGAAGTGGTCTACCTTCAAACTATCCTGTACTCAAAGTATAATTCACTCATACCAGTCTGAGGGTTAATGTCTTTATCAGTATAAATATTGCCCTTTGTTGATGGAACCTTCTTTTTTTTAATCTGCAGAAGATGGCTAAGGTGCTGGATACCCGCACCACAATGCTCAGGAGATACCAGCCAGAACCTGACCCTGCGCCTCTCTGGCAACTACCGCGTTATCAGAAGGTTTGTAGTCCTACAAAGCTTAATTCACAGATTATGTTAAGGTCAAAATTAGTTGATGGCTGTGAAAAATCAAGTAGTAAATGAAAAGGGCCATTGCTCATAGCAACAAGTAAAGTTAACATTTCTTTATCTAACCTGATTTGGGGAAATACATGGAGTATCGTGCATGTTACGGAAATGCCTTAAAAAGAACTAGTCAGGTACATTAATGTGTAAATATCCAAAACTCCACTCTTACATTTTTATATCAGCAGATCATAACCTAGGGATAGACGTGTGTTGTTATTCACCAGCATTCTCTCCCTGACAGAGCAGAAATGTCAGTCCAGTGTCAGGCTGTAAGGCCCCCATAGAGGCTGACCTGCCTTCTGCCTGAGTTCAGATCTGATAAATGACAATCTGTCCAGGCTTCTGGAAATGGGTAAAGCTGCCAGTTGACAAAGTCTTTGGTTTTCTTTCACGTAACCCTGAAAGAACTTTTGCTACATGCAGTTTTAAGGCTTCGAGCTGAGACAGGTGGCCCTCAGGATTGCCTTGCAACCTGACACTGAAATACTTGGTCTGACAGAAAATACATCAAATGGACTACACTTTTATTACATGGCAAAACCAGCGACACTCAAAACCAAACAAACCTTTTAATATTATTAAAATAAAAACAAACACACTCCAAGTGGCAAGAAATGGCAAAAGGCCCAAGCACACCAATAATAATAAAACAGGTTTTAATATCTTTTAAAATGTCCCCCTCAGGGAGGTGACAGACCACATAAAACAATGCCGTGACAGAAATGTATTACAACTTGGTATAGTGTGGGATGGTGGGAAGCTCCTCTGGATGTCAGCTGGAGAAAGGTAAAAGGTCCCAACGGATCCGTGTTTATATAACCCTCTTCAGCCAGTCAGAGGCCGTTGAAGCCAGCAACTTTTCCCGCCTAAAATAATGTAAGTCTGTCTGGATATTGTAATGACCAATCCTGTTGGGAGAGAACAGAAAAGAGCGGGAAAAGCAGCAACAAAAGGAAGGGGGGAAAGGAGAACATAATGGTTGCTGCATTTCCATGTGGGGGGCTCGTTCATCCCCCCTGACAGTTCAGTAGTAGAGATTCAGATTATTAATGGTACACATTGTAGACTGGTTCTTTCAAGTTTCAATGCCATGGTTTTCATGTGTAAGTAAGAGAAGTAAAAGTAAAACCGAGTGTCAACACATACTGCAGTACTGTACAATCAGCAGGTATAGATATGGTCATCCCTAGGTGCTGTGCTTGGTTCAAGCTGGCCATTGATGCATGTGCTATGTGGTCATGATATTCACATGGCTATCAGGAAGCTGGATTGGACCACTGCTGTGTCATGTCAGCTCCCTCATAATTTTTTATTATAATATCCCCCTTGCTGTAAGGGCAATAATTATGTTCTACCATGTGCCTATAAACACAACTTTCCACTTCCAAGACAGATAGGTGAAGTATTACAGAAGGACCTGCATGTTATTAAGAAAGTAGCCTGTTCTATCACAGGAGGCGACGAGAAGATTCTCCCGGTTTTCTATCTATGCTAGGAGCTGACAAAGTCAACAATAGCTCTGACAGGTCAATGATAAAGCAGGTCTCCTCTCTTGTGCTCTTTTTCCACCTTGACACGTTCCATTAACATATGTCAGTAATTCTTTATAAGCCCCCGAGATGCCACCACTGCTGCGTGTTCTGCTTGGAACAGAGGGGGCCAGCGTGGAACAGATTGAGGAAGTCAGGGGAGATGTCAGTGCGAGTGATGTTTACCTCAACTCTATACATCTGTACATCACTGGGGGGAGGCCGGTCAGTCTTCTGAATGCAGTGCATGGTGCAAGGAGGAGAAGCAAATAGGCATTTGTTTGCCCAGAGCTACCTATTGCCTCTCACTATTGAAAGAAAGGTCATAAGAGGCAACCAGACTCTGTGTTTCACAAGGAGAAGGATGCTGGAAACTGCCTGGTTTAATGAAGTAGATTTGGAGTAACATCAGTCAGGCTTAAAGGGTAAGTTCACTTTTAGGTCCTCATGCTTCAGGGCTCACCTTTCCTGTGCTGAGTATTTCACTAATAGCCAGGGCTGTATTTCTATCACTCCTGCCTATAGACACAAAAAGCAACTCCTCTCTGCCAGGATTAGGTGACTAGTGTTCTTAGCTTTGAGTATTGTCACATTGTGTAAATAACCTTTAATTAAGTGACTGCATTTCTAAAGGTGGGAGTAAAACTGTGGAAATACCCATAAAGTGAAACACCTCCTTCCAGCTATGGGAGCATGCCTCCTATGCCGAATGGTAAACCTGCCCATAACAATAACATAAGATACTGCCCTTACCTAAAGGGCTTGGGTGACTTTTGCTGACTTGGCTGCACTTGACTTCTTTTTTAAAGTCTTCCCCCCTGCACATGCGCAGGGTGGACTCCATTCGTTTCAGTAGAAGACCTGTCAACATTGTTCCATTTCAATCTGAACTCCGAACATGAAAGCTTTCATTTAAATATATTACTAAAGAAATACAAAGAATACGAGTCCACTTTGCGTGCGAAATGCCTTTGCAAAGCCATTTTTCACCTTGTAGATGTAGAAATGACATTGTCACTGTGCTGTACATATCCTGTGCAGAAAGGTGAGCTGTGGGAAGGACCCAGCAGGCTTCACCCACTACAGGATGCCTGCAGAAAACTACAGCAGGGGGGGCGGATACAAGACTAGTCATCTTGCAGAAGGAGGGAGAGCAACAGTGAGTGGTCTTTATTACAGGAAGCTCCAAGTTTCCCACTGGATTACTGCACAACTCTGGGAGAAATACACAAAACACACCAAGATTCAAGTAAGATTACATATGACTCTTGTATATAGACTATATTTGCTTATCCCGGAGTTCAGCTTCAAATGGATTTCACATCGCGCATGTGCAGGTGGTGCGCTGGTTGCGCAATGGCAGAAGAGTTAAGGTGCCCTCGGCGAATTGCGGCCAGTTTTTAATGTACTGGCTGAAATTCACAGTGTGTGGGGCTGTCGCCTTTCAGCTGGCATTCTTCGATCAGCTGATCGAAGGAGCCGGCTGGAAAATCTTCATACGATCAGAGCTGGCTGCACATGTCAGAATACAATGCAAACAGCGGCGATTCGCTGTTTGTGTTGATGAAGGAATCGCATCATCTTTTTTTGTTCAGCCCGCAGGTTGAGCAAAACAAATTGAGAGGTGTATTGCCAGCTTTATACATTGGAGATTACCAGAGCTCTTTGGTTTATATAATTTAGCAAAATGCTCAGCATGGAGAAGGTGTGGGTGGGTTTTATGATTGGTATGTTCACAAAAGGTAGCCACAGATGTAAAAGTGTAACCATGGCAACCAATCAGCTTCTAACAGGTCTATTCACAAAAGGGTGAAGAGTTTGGAGAGTCCTTTCCTCCAGTCAGTGCTGATGGATCGGAGCAGGGAGGTGGGAATCCCTGCAAGGAGTGACAGTCACGGCTCTAAGCAGGGACATGATCGAGAAGTGAGCAAGCGACGATATGCGTTCGCTCACTTCCCAATCTATTGATCCGACGTGTGACAGTCTCATTGTCACAAGTCGGCTCGAACTATGAGGTTGAGTGAAAATCACTCACCTCATAGTTCTCCTTTAACCCCTTCGCGACTGATGACGTACAGTGTACTTTGCCGCCGGGACTCTGTTTAAACTTGTAGAGCCGACTGTCGGCTTTACAACAGGTAAGCTTTACAACTTACCTGTCGCCAGATCGCTTCTGTGTCCCGAAGAAGGGGCCGCCCCCGCCGGACACCGCCGCCGTGCTTCCCGGGCTCCGTTGCCCCTCCTACAGGCCCGGGACCGGCGCCCTTTGTGTCCGCGGGGAGCTGGGGAGGAAATCGACGAACTTCCGTTCATCGATCCCCTCCCCATTCTATGGGACCGGGAGTGAAGTAGATTGCATCACTTCCGATCCCTGGGCTGTCAGTTCTGGGCTCCTGCAGCCCAGCTATAAGCGATCTGCACTTCAATAGCTTATTTCCACTGTCAAGGTGCCACTAGGGGTCTTTTGGACCCCCAGCATCACCTTAAAGAGTACCTGTCACCACCATCTGCTATCACAGCAGTCAAAGTAAAGTAAAAAAAAAAAACTGTTAAACTGTTAAAATCAAATAAATCTAATAATGATAATAAAAAAATGTAAAAGTCCGCCGCGAGCACGTGCGTCGCCACGTAAACACGCGTCGGGTGCGCCTATGAAAACGACGAACGCGTTACACATGTTGGGTATCGCCGCGCACGCCGGAGTGAGAGCAATAATTCTTGGGCCAGTATTTTGGGGTATCTCTAAATTGATGACCTGTGGGGGCTTTTAAAGCGTCTTCTGTGGACTTTTTGGGGTACTGCAGTTTTTCGCCGTTTCACGGACGCACGCAATTTGTAAACTGGGCATGTTGGGTAT